TGTTGAATGAAAAACTCAAAAATTTAAATGCGGGACCCTATTTGGAAATGATCATCGTGATAAAGCATGTGAGTCACTATCGCCCATTGAATGAAGTTGAATAGGTTTTCCATTGATACGTTAGTTCACAAGTGTTTCTTGCATCATACTGTATTGTGTCAAAAAATTTAGAAAGTGGAGATTAAGCTTTAGGGATTCTTTTTTGGGAACCTACATAAAGAAGCAAGTGTGTTTCTAGGAGAAATAAATGAGAGATTTGATCTTCATCTCAGACCTCTATTATCTCAATTGAGACTCCACATGTTAGATTCTTCAGGCATCTGACCTTTTGTCTTCTCAGTCACCTTTAAACTACAAAAGGACAAACATGGATAAGAAAAAGCGAGAAGGGTAAATATGCTGTTAGCTTACTGAAGAAAGAATTTTTTTTACTCAGAATTATACAAATGATTCTATAGTCACCAAGTGAGAGCTGACAATTATTAGTATACATATGTAACATGATCATTTTGTCTTGATGTTAATACGTGGCTAGGGCATTCTTATGTAAAGGTGGACGCTACCTACACCATTTATTTACTAGATTAGCAGTGTCCTTTTTATCATTTATATGGAAAATAGAACTGCATGCCTGGGAACTGCACTTAACCAGCTGTAAACATCTCTTTGGGGTGAAAAGCTGAACTTTTTGCTTCTGGGTGGTTGTACTGTGGTGATGGGGGAGAATGATGTGTAGCTCATGCTGATGAGTAGTTATGGAGTCTAGTTTCTCAAGTTTTATCTGGATATTAACCTATTTACTTGGAATGGAGGGAACTTGGTTGGTCTCATGTAGCCCCACTCTTGTTTTGTCCCTTCTACTTACATGATTAATTAGTTATTCTTTTAAATAACTTCACTTTCAAATCGAGCTATTTCTTTATTACTAGAATATACCCACTTTCTTGAAATGGAATATAAACAATTGCCAAAATGGCATAACATGTTAATTTGGGGGAGTTGTATACTTTGAAAAGCTTATATTGCAAATTAAATATCTTAGATTTCTTGAAATGGAATATTTTAGATTTCCAGGATACTTTTGAATGTCTGCACTTCCAGTTTGTTATTTTAGCGATTTAGTTAGTGAGTTAAAAGTCTTTACCCCTGCAAATGAGAAGTATTTTGAAAAACCTCAAATAAGCTTCATCAGAAAGATCCTTGCAAGACTGCATGCGCGAGATCCCCTGGGGGAGTAGGATTTAAGAAGGGTGTGCCTAATAAGAGCTTTTTTAGATGCAGCAGAAATTTGTTGGTACTCCAAAAGGTGTCTCAGAATACTGGTTCGTGTTTAGATCATGCAAAGGATGGCAATAGAATGTTGCCAACTTCTCAGAAAGGATAAAAATGTATTAAATTCGTAAGCAGGAATAAGGAGGAACAAAGAATTTCTAGAGATTTTTCCTAGAAACCATCCAGTTCTTGATTGCACGCACGTTCAATGTAAACCTCTTGTAGATGTTAATTTTTAGTGCAACTCTTGTTGATTTTCCGTAAATAGGGATTTGAGTAGAGTAATGCTCTGAATGTCAGCCTATGACTCTAGCCTGGTTTATAAAGGTGGATGTTTGACTCTTTCGATTTTAACCAATGGCTAAAATCATATCCAAATTAGTTCTTAATGATAAATCAGAGAAAATTAAGGAACGGAGGTAAGAAATTAGTTTTTCTGTCGGGAATGGATATAGTAAATGTAGACCTTTCCAAGGCAAGTCTGGTTCCAGGTCAGTGACAGATGTACTTACTGTTTTTTTGGAGCCATTAGCATGGAGGAAGATGACTGAAATGAGTGTTGTCTGCTTTCTCTTTTGTCTCATTAGATAATTCTTGAAGTTATTGTGTGCAATTTTCTTTCTAATTGTAGCACTCATTATAACATCACTTGGAATTTGTGCCTTGGGTAATTTAGTTCATTCCTACATGGATCGCTCTGGTTTAGTTATTCTGATATTGGGCATAGAGACAAACTTCTCTGCTTTGTGACACATTATTAATGTTGAAACGATGGTCATAATGCCTTGTTTCATTGGTAAGTAGATCTTATTTTGAGTACTTCAAATTTTGATATGATAAATGTCCAGGTTCAGCATCTGAATATAGAATTTTTTTGGGATGATTCTTTTTTGGTGGGAAGGTTGGGGGGGGGGGGGTTGGGGCTGTAGGGTGAAAAAAAAAGCAGTTTTCAAGTTTTGGCGCTTAAATATTTTCCTAATCTCAACCTAACCCCTATCTAGACTTATTCAGAACTAAGAAAAATATTTCTCTTCAGAGGCAAAATCTAAAACTCACCTTTGTGAAAGATTATGTGCAATGCCACAACACACGACGGTCAAAAGTAACAAGATAGAAATAGGAAGTTGGTGATTCTCTTCTTTTTTTCCTTCTCTCTTTCTCTCCCCACAGCCCCCCCCCCCCCCAAAAAAAAACCAAAAAAGAAAAACCCCAAAAAAAGTTCTATATTCAGATGCTAAATTGGTATAGTACTCGAAATAAGATCTACTACTTACCAAGGAAACAGGGCATTATGACCACTTTGTCTCAACATTAATAATGTGTTGCAAAGAATAGAAGTACATACCCAATATGAGAATAATTAAACCAAAGAGATTCATGTCGTAATGCATTAAATTACCCAGGGCAAATTCCAAATGATATTATAATGAGTGCTACAATTAGAAAGAAAATTGCACGGGATAACTTCAAGAATTATCTAATGAGACAAAAGAAAAAGCAGAGAACACACATTTCAGTCATCTTCCTCCACACTAATGGCTCCAAACAAACAGTGAGTACATCTGTCACTGACCTGGAACCACATTTGCTTTGAAAAGGTCTACATTTACTATCCATTCCCGACAGGTAAACTAATTTCTTACCTCCGTTTCTTTTCCTTAATTTCTCTAATCTATCATTTGGATTTGATTAGTCATTGGTTAAAATCGAAAGAGTCAAACATCCAGAGGTGATATTCAGAGCATTACTCTACTCAAATCCCCATTTACGGAAAAATTACAAGAGTTGCACTAAAAAATAAACATCTTCTCTACAAACCTTATTAATTCAACCCCTAACTTTAATAAGTTAATGACAGTAATGTCATTTAGACACATGCAAATCAGAAAGTAGACTGAAGTACTCCAAGTTATCATGATTCATGTATATATATTAGAATTTATATAATTACAGGTTACTGAAAACTCTGTGCTCGGTGGTCCTGCCATTGCAGAATTTAAGGACCACATGGATGCAACCTTGAGAACCAATTCCCATCCTTGAACATCTAACACTCCATTTCTTGATATCAAATAAGTAGCTAGGAGGGGATAAATGTTTATTTGTACAAACAAAGATGTTTCTGTGCTTGTGAAGCACACCAGAGATTTCAAACTATATGCTACTCTTTTCTAACAGGAAGGTAACTGCACTATAATCGAAATGAATATCAATTCACTTCCACCACATCAAAATACGATTGTCGAATGCAATTGGAAAGAATAAATGGCATAATTGAAATGGAGAGAGAACCAGTCAAAGAGTTGGAGACTACCGAGCTGAAATGTGGAACACGCTGTTAAAGTCTCATAATGTCAAAAATCTACTGAGCTGACTGAGCAGGCAAGGCAATTACTTTGCTTCCCAGGAAGCATGACAAGAGGAGGTCATTCAAGCTGTTTTATCCTTTGTGAGTGACAAAGACAGAAGGCAACAGTCAACTAGGGCATATAAAGAAAAAAGGTGGCAGAGATTACTTTGAAAATTCAAGCTTTAACATGGCATCTCTTAACTCCTAAGAAGCCATTTTAGTAGTTAGGATAGGCTTACCCTAGGGTCTTCATTTACAAATTTTATGTATACCCTTTTTAGCACTTAGTTTTTAAGTTGGGCATGATATTTAGTCAGAAAGAATATATGAACTTTGCTATCTTAACAAGAATTTTGTGGTTTTGGTATCTAGGGACCAAGGTTCTAAATTAGGAATTGGTTTCTACAGTGAAAATGCCTCAGTAAAAACTCAGGTTGGAGAAAATATCTAGAAGCCCATAACTATGCAATTCTCATCCAAAGAAATTGCAGATTTCAATCTAACAAATGGTCCAAACTGGAGATGCTGCAGACTTTTAGTGTGTTACAGAGTTGGTGATGCGATTTAGTCTTAGGTCCAATACTGGATGCTTTCTCAGAATAGTTTCTAGAACCAAGGCAGTGAAGAAGGAAAAAGAGAAAAAAGAATCACCAACTTCCTATTTCTATCTTGTTACTTTTGACCATCGTGTGTTGTAAAGTTCTGGCATTGCCCATAATCTTTCAGCAAGGTGAGTTTTAGATTCTGCCTCTGAAGAGAAATACTTTTGTTAGTTCTGGATGAGTCTAGATATGGGATAGGTTGAGATTGGGAAAATATTCAAGTGCCAAAACTTGAAAACTGCTTTTTTTTTCACACTTTTCTTTTTCTAAATTTTGTTGTGTTTTATTTTTCTTTCTAAGAATTGTTTGTTTGGTTTCTTGTGTTTTATTGTTGTTTGCAGGGAAGAATGATATTCCATTTTGTGACCTGAAAGTGTACCATGATCAAAAGCAGCAGACAAACTCCAATGGTTTATTTTTTTGCTTTCTTCAAATTTAAAGGGTCACTTATATACCTTCGTTACTGCAAATACTTTCCTTCCTTCAAATTTTTATGCTAGTGTCAGGTGGAACCATTCTAGAGGCTCTCACTTATCTGCAGTATATAGAAGACTTATCTGTGAGTAGCATGTGAAATCAGTTTAGGGCTGTTCATTTATTGAGAATGAGGAAACTGCAAATGGTCTCTGTTTGGACTACTAAATGGAGGTAAGTCTCAGATTGTTTTGGCTTTTGATTGACATGATTTCAAAATGATAAGATAAATCCCCAACTCATCACTCGGTTGAAAACTCCCAATCCTGACAATACTCTCATTCTGTAAATTTGTCTTTAAGCTTTAACATGGAATTCATCCAGAATCAGATTGATACTTTCTGAAAGCTAAAGGAGAGCAAGTGCTGACTGTATCAATCCTTGAGAGAAAACGGTAATGGCTTTGTAACTTCCCTGATACTGCTAAAAATGGCTTTGTAACTTCCCTGATATTGCTAAACAACAGATTAGTTTAGAAGATCGATCTGAGAGAAAAAGGTGATGCCCCTGGTTTTTCTGTAGCTGCTGGTGATTTGTCACACACGAAAAGAGTTGCTTCTGCAACTACTATTTATCATAAGCCAACTCAATAGATTTGCTGATAACGGTTGGGGGAGTTGCTACCACTTAATCTGCTGAATTGCCACCTGCCTGCAGTTGAATTATAACCACAAAAAGTGTGGAATTTCACAGAATCGAAGAATGCACTATCGTGAATATTATCCATATGCAGTTTTCCAAGCGAGTAAATCACCAGCAACATTATTGCCCAGTCAAATATCAAGCTCCATGGGGAAAAAAAAGCTATCAGAGTACCCAAAATCATCAAAATTTTGTCTAGATAAGTCACACTTACACATTCTTAAAGTTTACAATGGCATTGTCTGTAAAATGGCTAAAAAACCGAAGTAAAAATGAGTTCATGCACCTTCTATAGCTACTGGAAGCATATTGCACTATCAGACTTGTTCCTTTTCTAAAGTGACTCCTCAAGAAGCTTGATCAAGCCACTTTTGTTGAGTTTGGAGTATCTTTTGAGCTTGCGTGCCTTTGCCATGGCTCTGAGTTGAGCCATTGTCAAAAACTCGAGATTCATTGTGGCCACTGACGTAGTACAAGAGACTAACTTGAGGGACTTCTTAACTCCAAATTCGTTCACTGCATGAAAGCTGGAGACCGGATCGATTTCCACCTTGACCAAACCTTCCATCCTTCCCTCATGCATCGTCTGAGCGGCTTGGAGATTGCCCGACTCTTCGCCTTTCTTGATCAATGGCTCCGTTGCCTCTTTGGAGGTGCTATTGAACACCTGTGAAGATGATTCCCCAAATGCCCATCCGAAATCAGAAAGCCACAAATCTTCTTGCTTCGTTATGGGGGGAAACTCCGTCTCTATCCAGTTGGTTATATCAACCTCTTCGGCCTGCTGTTTTACGGGATCTGTCATGTAAACTGAATCGATATCTGCAAGCTGGAACATGCTCTGAAAAAAAAAGAAAAGAAAAGAAGATGCAACACAGTTTCTTAGTCATATAAGAATCATCTTCGAAATGAAAATTTAATCGTGTAGATATTGAATCCTCCTCATACTTTGTAGGGGGCAAAAAAATTTTGTGAAAAACCAAAATCCCATTTTTGCCAAAAGTCTCCATTGGTTAGGATTTTAACAAGTAATTTTATAGGAAAAAAATTATTTCTTTATTGAATCAGAATACAAAAGCAATAGACAAAAAAAATCAAGAAAAGAAAAAAAAATACATTAACGCACATAATTTCGTTTTGCACATTGTGCAGATATTCTACATCCTCGTTTAGATATTTAAATATGATATATCGATCCTATTTTGACCTGCATTGAGAATTTCATACGGAGTGACTTCACAAGAATTAACTTTAAATATAGTTATTATAAGATATGTTTATTTATAATATAATAATATGTACAACTGATAAGTCACGTCTACAACATGAAAATGTAACAAGAAGAAAGGATACATCACTGTCGCTTACATCAAACTAAAGAAGCCAGAAACCAAGAGTCTCACAAATGATTAGGCCGAACTTGTTTATCAGTTTGATACATAAGAAACATCTCATACCATATCAGTTTCTGTAATAGTGGTTTCTGCGGGATTTGGAGATGGCTTCAACTTAGTGCTTTCAATTCCGAAATTCTGTACTGTGACTGCCCCGCCTGTTTCTTCAGAAAGATTGCAGCCCACTGTTCCACTGCTTGAACCGGCTATGTGGCTCAAGGCATTCGCACTGGTATCCATCATCATGGCAGTTGCTTCCTGTTTGTTACATGAGGTTAGCAAAGTCAAAAGAAAATTTGTACATTTATGGAGTAATTGATTCCTAACTTTGTTACTGATTGGTAGGTACCTTCTGAATGTCTGGGGTATACATCCTCTTCACTGCCTTGGTTGTTGAATCATGTATTCGTGTTCCATGTGCTATCTCAATGCTTGAATCAATCTCCATCATTTTTCTCTTGGTGGATACTTCACTTGCATGTTCAGAAAGATTTGGGAACGAGTTGATGATTGTGGTATCTCCATTCTGATCATTGTTTGGAGAAAACCAATATGAAAATGTAACAAAAAGAAAGGATATCTTGTAGTCTAAATGAGTCACAAGTTAGCACTTGACAGATTTCGCCGAGCAGCCATGCTAGGAACTGCAAAATAATGTAAGGAGGTTGTCTTTACCTGGTCTTTCTCTTCCGCATCCTCTGAAACTTCCAGATTAAAAGGTTCAGAAACCTCTTTCAAGGATTTGGCAGCACAGGCTACTGCTTCAGCATTGCTCGAGCCGGTCTCATCTGTGGACTGGAGAGCGGCGAGCTTCTCAGCATTGAAACTTGAACTCTGTAATGGAGGTTTCCACAAATAGGGAAGAAGTTGTCTTACAAGAAATAAATACAAATTCCAAATCACCCAAAACACCAAGATGACATCAAATGTCCAGTGATACATATAGGTAAAGATGGTGTATTTAACATCACATTTGCCAGCAATACCATATACAAAAAGTGCAGAAGATGTTAAATTAAAAGTACATCACGTTGGCATGCAAAGTCATGATTATAATTTAAATCCGCAATAGCCCATACCATTATTCCCCAGAAAACGTGATGAACAAGAGGAAGAGAAAAGTGATTTGTTCACCTGATCCAGTTCATGTAAACGATGAAGCTGTTTTACTTCCTTAATTCTTAAAAAAATGTTGATTGGTCCTAGAGCAAAAGAAAAGGTTTTCTTTCCCTGAAAGTTACTTTGAATAAGTTCTCAAATACCTCACCCGGTAATATACACTCAAGCCTAACTCTTTCAGTCATACATCTATCTGGCTTTTGAGATGCTTAATACCAGTGAACGTGGTATGAAGCATTTAGCAGCTAAGGTCTCAGATATCTTCAGGTATTGGATAGGAAATTTATACATATTCTGCACAGTGACAGGACACGTTACAGAATAACCAGAGCAGAAATAATCCAGAACAGGTTTTCAGCAGCTTCACATCAACCAGTGCACTTATTTACAAACAAGAAAATCCAGCGAACTATGTCTAATCAATTAACCATGCCAACTTGCTTAGTGGGGCAGCAGAGCAACAGGATAAAATTCAGGTATTACACAAACCTGCTTATCTCTGTTTGGAAAGTAGTACTTTTCCAGAAGAGCTTTTAGTATTTCACTCAGTTTCGGAGCAGGTTCTCCATGTTTCTGGTGAGGGACACCCATTTCATGTTCCATTTGTAGTGTTTCATCCTGACCAGGATCTCCATTTGTTTGGAAATTAAAATCCCGCTCATGTTCCGCTTGCAGGTTTTCAATCTGAGCAGGTTCTAGATGTGTTTGGCAAAGAACACGCATCTCATGTTCCAATTGTATTTTTTGGTTCTGAGAAGGTTCCTTACATGTTTGGATGTGAGAATCAAGGTCCTCCTCTGTTTGTAGGCTTTCAATTTTTCCAGGATCTCCATCTGTTTGAAAACAAACATCCAATTCATCTTCTGTTTGTTGATTTTTATTCTGAGCAGGATCTCCATCTGTTTGGAAACCAAAGTTTAGTTCATTTTCTGTTTGTTGCTTTTCATTCTGAGCAGGATCTCCATGTGTTTGGGAACTAGACGCCTGTCCTTGTTGCTGTTGCACTTTTTCATTCTTCAATCTCTGAATCGAGATATCTAGCGCCTTGATCCTCTCCGTCAAAGTATCAAAGCATTTCTTAGCCCAAGCATCATCTTCCAAAGCCACTTGGGCCTGAAGAAATACAATTTCTTCCTCAAGTTCCTTTATCTCGGCATCAGCCTGAGGTATCAGTCTTTTCAGCACTTCGATACAACACCTTTCATTTATAGCATCTTCTTCCATGACATCTATGACATACATATAACGGAACAGAGGGGACCTTAAGTCAGTCTAAAAAAAGTCTCCAAAGAAACTGATTAGCAAACATTGTAAAGGGGATAAACTAACCGCGCCCCACACCAGAGGAGAAATCAGACTGCCAATTTCCTGTAAAATCAGCACTGTCATCTGTAACCAAAAATTACACAAACAAAAATAAGAACTTAGGTTTAGTGAAATAGAAAATTTCCATCTTTTAAAATTTGAATCTATACAGAGTTCTAGTAATTTTTTCAGTCTAAACAACCACCAGTAGTAACTTGAATCATTTAGCTAATAAAATAACAAGGCAGAGCAACCTTCACAAATTGGTGGATCCCAGAGAGAAGAATCCATAGTCTTAGTCAATTCCGACCTGCAATATGAGCACAAAAATATGATGATAAAATATTTTGGTCATACAGAGAACATGTTTCCAACGGATATCCGCTGTTGAATCTGTAAATAAATGAATATCAGTAGTGTACACATCCGGATTTTCAAAAGAAGAAAGATGATTAAAAGGCCATCTCAGCATTAACTTAGAACAAGATAGTTCATCCCATGCAACAGTGATCCTGCTAGCATGCAGATTATATAATACCTTGATAGCATGAAGATCATACATCCAAGTCATTGGTCAGCATTTTCCTCCTGTCTAATTTTCACAGTTGGAGAGTCTAATCCAAAACTGAGTCTTTGGTTAAAAGCAAACTTTCATGCTTTCCATTGTCTCTTACTGAGTTATCATATATGGAATCTTTCTGAAACATTGGAGTCATTTCATGAATTCTCTTATACTGTTTCCACCATTACTTATGATCACTCAGCGTATACTGAGAAAAGCTTTATCCTCTGGATCATGAGGGCTAGTTTATCTTATCATGCAGCAGCTTGGAAACAATAGATATGAAAGGCAACTGTAATAGGAATGAACATAGCCTTTGTTCCCTCTATCTTACAGGTATCATTTCAACTTTTTCATTTAGTACTAAATGGAAACTAGCAGTGTCATGCTGTAATTGGAAGAGCAATTAATTGAAGAACACCTATAATCACCATATCAAGCTGATTTATCTAATTACATGCACAAATTTGTTTAAAACAAATACTGAATATTTAGGCAGAAATATCATCTAGCAAGAAAGGATGTGGGGGACAATATGGATGAGTTGTTAACAGTAATAGAGAAGGTGCTGATCAACTGCGACAAGCGTCTCACCCCAATGGTACCATTGCTCTGTAGCATTAGGGAAGAAGATCCTTGCAAGTGATACACTTTCCCCACACACACATGTATAATCATTTGTATCCAACATAGACATAGAAAAATCAAATTTAAAGAAAAAATAGATAATTTTACACGTCCACTTATTCATTTGCACATTATTCACAAGCATGCACAAATTTAATTGCTCGGAAAAAAATCAGAATTCAAAAAAGAAGACACTAAAAAAAAAAAAAGCAGAAAAATCCCCAGTTATATCAATCATCTAGGCGGCCTTGATCACATAAACGCAACATCAAACAATTCAGCAATGCAGAACTATGATTACTCGTTCCAAACTGAAGAAAACAACAATACATTCACTAGTTCGAAAATTTTCATATTTCACTCACACAGCCAAAAAGACAATCCAAAAAAAATTCCATCTTTCCTCACCAACTCCATCAACTGAGCTCTAATGATATAACTAATAACAGTAAAAAGTTGAAATTTTGCGAAGTGAAGACCAAAGCATTGTACCTGAAAATGATCGAAACCACCACGGAAGAGCTCACACACAGTCACGCACTGAAATTTGGGAGAGATTGATGATGACAGCAACGAGAGAGTGGAGAGTTTACGCACAGAGTGACAGAGTGGCTACCGGGATGGATGCACAGGAAGAAAGACGCAGCAGTGGCACTGTTGTACTTATTTGTAAATAGAAGGGTATAATTGGCATGGAAATCTTGTCCGTACTCGTCTGGGATTAATGGTAGATGGACCCCAGTTGGATTTCCATGAGTGTGAATGCATCGGTTCCTACCGTCTTAGTAGGATAGTGACGGTTACACATTTTTCTTGGCATTTTGTTCTTTTTTAATTTTGCTCTTATTTTGTCTTGATTTTTCTAATATTTGTTAATTTGAATTTGGACTTTTTTTTTATCATAATCAAGTATGGTTAAATCTTCACATAGTTAGATATAATTAAATCAAGGGGTGGCTATGGTTCAAGTTTGAATCAAAATCGGATTGGAATCGATTCGATAATTTGTTGAATCGGAATCGAAACTGAACTTTGAAAAACTGGAAACGAAACCAAAACTATGAGTAAAGGTTTAGATTCAAATTCACCAAAAATTTGAACTGAAATCGGAACGGGTAGTTTAGGACCTATTTAAACTGTCTAAACAAATATTTGCTATCTAAACCTATTTGGTCAATTTAGAGTCCAATATCAATAGTCAATACATGATATCAGTAGTTCTAATCCTAGACCAACAATCCATCGTCTCATTCTATTACTCCCTCCGTCTCACTTTGATAGTTTTGTTTTCCTTTTTCGTCTGTCCCAAATTATAGTCCATTTTTCAATTGAAGAATGTAGTTGTCTTTTAATTTATCTAAAATACCCTTATTTAATGTAAGTTATTATTACTATAAAGTATAAACTACCTTATTTAATATAAATTGTTAGTGTTGAATATAACCTATCCCAATTAATGTATTTAAATTTTCCAAAACATATTGATATATGAAAGCCAACTGTATTTAATGTAAGGGTATTTTAGAAAAATAGCAATCTAAATTTGTTTTTTCAACAAAGTTAACTACTTTTTCTTAAACTGTGTACAAAAAAAAAAAAAAAAAACTAGAACTATCAAAATGGGACAGGGGGAGTAGTAAGTTTATATGCCATGACTACTCTAAATCCAAGACCAATTTAATCTAATCAACAATGAGATTTTTTTAATTAAATTTGCATCATTTTTTATTTTTTCCTTACACATGATAATACAATAAAGTTTTTTTTTTACATTCATTGCTATATTTTTTTAGAATCAATTATATAAGAATAAGTGTTTAAACATAACAAAAAGAATTGAAACTATAACTGAAAGAAACCAAAATAAAATCGGAATCGAATCCGAAATCATAATCATACTTATAAGGGCTAATTGAGGTTCCACCCTTACAAAGAATCAAAACCGTCGATTTTTGAATCGGAACCGACAATTCTGAAACCATGACCGTATCTCACTGAATCTTTGCATGATTAAGTATAACTAAATCTTCACATAATTAAGTATTATTTGTACTTTCCCCCGACTAGATAGTGGTCACTTTAAATATTTTCTTTGTACTCCTGTTAAAAAGGATAAAATACTTCGAACATATTAATTAAAAAAAAAAACATATCAGTGTTATCCACATAGCTATAAATTAATCATGAACCAATGCCATTTAAAGTTCTCCAACCAACATGTTATACACAACTTCACGGTACATTTCTCCAATTTTCCATATCTATGATTGTCAATCGTGTAATGTGAGTGCAAAAGAAATAAGATTTTCAGGTTTCAGATTATAAGGCTCATGCCTAACTCACACATATATTGTAATATGTAGAATTGTACATTATTTACGTGATTACATATTATATATATATATATATATATATATATATATATATAGACACACATGTATACATAGAATTATTTGGGTCAGGCTTTAATCAGACTTGGCCTCACAACCTAATCGGGTTCTATATCTAAACCCAAACTCTACCCAACCTAATTAAACCTAAGGTTCAGTCCCAACTTTTTCAGGTCGATCAGGTCGAGTTTGGATAATCCAATCCTATTGACGGTCCTAGCCATACTTGTCAATATTCTTAAAGACTTGTAATTTCTTAAATATTCTTCGATATTCCCTAAATCAAGAAGCAAATGAAGTTTAAAAATATTTTTTATTTTGGTTGCACATACATCTAGTGTATGTGTATCTTCAACACTGACTAAGTATCATTAAATAACTTTCCTTGGACTTAGATTTGTTAAATAAATAGTGAGGTATTCATTGTCAATTGGGAAATTAGTGCAAAGTGAAGCCATAAATTATAGCTCAATCTTTCTGAATCAAGAGTTTAACTCCTAACAACCTTTTCTCCATAAGTTAGGCATTGTTTGGATTGAGAGATGTGAGGGAAATGAAAGGACAAGAATAGGAAAGCTTTGAATTTTTTTTTTTGTCTGGATTGATTTTTGAGGGAGGAAAGAAAATGATTGGGAGGGAAAGAGTTATTTTTGTAAGATTTGATTTCCGCACAAAAGTGAAGGAACCAAATTAAATGAAATAATTTAAAATTTCATTTTTTTTCATTTCTTGCTAGTTAACTAATACTTATTGAGGAGGTCTTGATTTAGTGGCGAGGTTGGGGTCCCAATAATTAGAGGTCCTGCATTTAAATTCTTTCATTTTTTTCATTTCTTGCTAGTTAACTAATACTTATTGAGGAGGTCTTGATTTAGTGACGAGGTTGGGGTCCCAATAATTAGAGGTCCTGCATTTAAATTCTCCCACCGTCTCCTCGTTTCTTAAGTCCAATCCCTCTCTCCCTAATCGGAAAATTTTAAAAACATCGGAAAATTTTAAAAGCAAAAAAACTAGCACTTTTTCTTTCCTTTCTTTTCCTTCCTTAAACCAAACAACAAATCTAATTTATTCTTGTTTTTCTTTCTATACTTAATTTAAGAAATCATGAAAACCACTTTCCTCCACTAACATTTCCTTTCTTTTCTATTGGTAACCTTTTGTAACCTTTTCTTTCCTTTCCCTTCGTTTCCTTCGATGCAAATGGAAACAAGAGGGTCGTCACGTTATACATATGGGTTGTTTGGATTTTTTTTATGCTTTTGATCAATTTTCCTCTCATATTTAGTATTAACTTCCTTGCACCATTTAAGTTCGGGAATTTATTTACATTATATTTCTAATATTGGTAGTCTTGTATTAAACTACTTGTCAACAAAGGGAGGATAAGTACTTAAAAAAAAAAAAAATTAGTTCTCTTTTAATTTATCAACCGCTTTCAATTTAAATTTTCTTCATTGAAAGTCATGTTTGATCTATCGATATTGAGGGTTAATAACTAAAAATTATAATGATAATTTCATAAACCTTCCTGGAAATTTTTGACAATTTCATTGAGCTCTCTTGAAATTTTAAAACTTACACTTATCTCCTTTGATTTGATACTTTTGGTAACCAAACGTTAGACTTGATCAACAATTTAAACGAATATCCCAAAATACCTTCAATTTATAAAGTTTAATTACTTTCCAAAGCAATTGTTAGCACAAATATAAAGAAAGAATGTCAAGTTTTGTATACCATATTTATTTTTTGATAAGCAATCATGACAATAGTTCAAAATTATGATAAAATGCTTTTAATGGTGCTTTACAAGGAACACATATTCTTTCTAAATTGAAGTAATTGATGATTACACAATTCGAACAATTTCGAATTCACCTCAAATAAAAAATGGATAGAACCCTTTGATTAAACAAATAAAATTAAAATTCATATTAATTAATATTAAAAAATTTTTAATTAAGGCTCAATTTGGATCTAAAAGGATACGAATTTTTTTAAATATGAATACAAACTTTTTATTAGTTGATCCTTTTATTTGGATTGATAATGTATTTCTACATTAGAGTAATGATTTCAAACTATATAATATAGTTTCAAACCATTTTTTCAGATATTGAATTAGAATACTCTATTAACACTATCTATATCAAGCCAGGCCCATTTAAATTTCATTTAGTCACCATACTACTTCTAGAATTTGTTTTTTTTTAGATTGTTGGAATTAACAATAGAATTCAGTAGTATTGACAAATTCTTTTGGAGTTTTTTTTAACTTTTTCTTTTTTGTAAGTGGGAGGTCTTGAACCCAACCTTTTGGATATACAAACTTTCTATTTATCAAGTAATGAAATTTGTAAAAAAAATAATTTGGAAGGCAATGCTTGAAAACGATATTGAACATTACAACAGAAAACATAATAGTTATTGAAGAAATTTTAGAAGAAAAAGAATGATTAATTAAAAACATAAATGGATTAGTATGGGCAATATGCTAATAGAATGCTAAAAAATGAAATTATTGTTATGAAATAATTAATATTGTGGATATCTATCACATTTATTTCATCCCCTAGATGGTGATAAGTCTTTTACTTTTTTCGAGATAATAAAACTATCACGACTTTTAAGGTGATAAAGATGGCATGATTTTCGATAAATCTATTATGAATCTCAATAAAGCTGGTACGACAATTGATAAAGTTATCATGTCTTATAAAAAGATTGTATCACTATGTTATGATGAAGAACTAATTGCTATACTTTCCACTATAAATAGGGGTTACCTCCTTTCTAACAAAGTGATAGAAAACTGAGGTTCCATTTGAGTGAATGAAAGAACAGCTTTTTTTTTTACATTTCTCTTCCCCTAGGCTGTTTAATTTTCCTATTTTCTTAACATATTATCCACCACAAAAACAACTCAAATATTATATCACATTAGCAATAGTTTTGTAACAATTATGATAATATAAGAAGTATTATTAACAAATAATCAATTCAAATAAAAGGAATAGATAATGTGATTAGAGAAAAATGAAAAAAGAAAAATTATGGGTTGGTTGATAAAAAATGAGCAGTGATACACTAGCCCATATCCGATTCCTTTGAAGGACGTGGTTTGCTCGATAGGACCTGCTCCGGCATCCATTTGGCTAACCAAAAAATTGAAACCGACAAAAGAATAAAACACACTACAAATAGAACAATGAGATACTAGCCAATATCCAATTCCAAAATTAAATAAGGTGAGATTGGACTTGGAGGATGAATAAGTATAAAAATTTTCTTGTCCGAAAACTAGAATGGAATTGAGACAGAAAAGCACCACTAATCAAATAGCGCTTTCAACTTTCTAACTATGTGAGTAGCTAAAATCTGCAGAATTAAAAAAAAAATTCTGTAATCAACCTATGTGAGTAGCTATGCATCAGGAACTAAAATAAGAACAAGTAAACAGTATGCCTAGTTATCAAATATTGGAAAATGAGTACTCAGCTCAAAACGCAAGGAGTAATTTCTTTTGCTTCAAGGACCTCAATGCCAACCAGCAAGTATTCCCCACACTTTTCCTTCAGGATAGAATGAGTGAGTATTCCTGGAGCAACAACCTTCCTATTCCTGCTGCATCAGATATGATAAGACTGCAGCTCCAAAGGTAACTCTAAGTACCTGATTTGTGTAAGATATCTTGAAAGAAATGGCTAATCATCCATTGAAACTTACTCTCCCACTCTGTGGAGATCCTGAAAACCAGACGTTTTGACTGAACGTGCTCCCGCACTTGAGAATAGGAACATGACAAACACAAGCGGCCAAGTGTCCCAGTTTTGCTAGAACAGAACTGACAAACAGGATCATAATATATCCCCCAAGAATAAACTCTCTGCTTAGTAGCTAACCTCTTTAGAGTTGTAAGAGTTAGCTGGAACTTCATTAACATCATTATGATCATCAGTATCATTAATTTCATCATCAGCGTCATCGTTAATACCAGATTCATCATCAACATCACCATCACCATCATCACATGTAGCATCAGCAACATCAGCGTCATCGTTAGCATCATTAATTTCTTCGTCAACATTATCATCATCAGAAGATTTATACTTTACCTTGCCAACACTTTTGATGGACTTCTTGTAACTTATTTTGCATGCAGAGGAGGCCCAAGTTCCTTTGCCTGCTTTAAAAGAAGCAACGTTTGAGGAGGAGAAAAGATCATGATTTGGGAGTCGAAGGGTTGAAGGCTTTGGGATGAAACAAGACTTGCCAAAGTAGCGAAAGTTTGCAAGGGGATTAACAGCTTAGAGTCAGCTCCATTGTTGCTTTGATCTGCCATAGGTTTCGCATTTTGCTTTTCCTTTGACTGCGGTCTCCTATTTTGTGATAGAAAGTTACAGGGTTTTACAACATATCCATTAAAGATTAACTAAATATTTTTAAATTTCTCATAAAGATGAATAAATATGTTAAATATCTGATAGATTTTTGTAAAAAGATACATCAAAGTTATGTGTAAAAAGTATACCAGAATGATCCTGATAATGAATACACCCATCAATCTAATCGTGCCATATCAGCAAAATCCCATTTAATCTTTATCTCATTAATTACTTTCCTATTTTCTTGCACCACTGTAATTATCAGTTGTTCCTTTATTTTCCGGAGCAGTTGTTCCTTTATTTTCCAGAGCTTCTTGCCCTTTTTTATTTTTTATTTTTTGCCCTCCCAATGCCACCTCTTGTTTCTTTTTTTTTTTCTTCAAAATCTTCGAATTCTTTTTTTTTTTTTTTAACAAACTCTTAAAACAACAAAATCAGCTAGCAAACAATATCACGTTAAGAACTCCATGGTTGGACTAATAATTGACAACTTTTCACACTTTTAATTTTATGTTGATTTTTACCCAAGTTTTTTTTATTTTTTTTTATTTTTTGTATGTTTTGTATGATTATTTAACCAAAATAATCATGTTATAGTTGTAAGAATTTGTAAGAAAGCAAATAACCAGACTCCAAAGATTTGGAGTAAAAAAAGAAGAAACAACTGTTAGCAAGAGTCAATTGAAAATAAAATAAATCATCGTTCTTAAATGTTAGAGATTAAGCGAGATTTTACTGACATGGTAAGACTCACACTCTACGGGTAAGTGTACTCAAGATGTTGTCGTACTTTTTCTTCAATTTTCAAACCCTGAATCAATCGAAAAGCTCAAACAAGTGATTGGAAAAAACTTGAAGGATGGGAGAAAATGAGGAGGAGAAGAAATTAGCTGGGGAAAAGAAAGAAGTTGCCGACATTATTGCTACACTTCATCAAAAAAAAAAAAAAAAAGGTTTGACGATGATTATCAAACCATAGAAGTAGAAGTAGATATGTAAGGAGTGTCTCTAATAATCTAGAGAAGAACTAAAAACAACACAAATTATATGTATGTTTGTGATATAAATAATAGGAGTGTAACATATTGCATTGTATCAAATAGCACAAAAATGTAATATAATTTATCACATGAAAACTATGAATTAAGGTTATATTTCTAATAAACTCAAACAAAAAAAAAAAAAAAAGTAGAGAGAAGACTTCGTGACATTGTAGTCTGAATCTTTTACTTAATTATTCATCCAAGTTTAGTAATCCTCTCTTCGACTCGAAAAATAATTTAACTCCGCCCACCCAGTTGTGAAAACCCGTCCAACCCAACGGCCTCCTCCGGCACCGGCAGATATCAACTCGCTCTTTTCCTCGGTTTCTATGGGTACTTGACGTGCCCCTGAGTTTCTTGTAATAGTACAACGTTTTCTTAAGCTATTATACACATTTGGTTAAAAATCAGGAAACAATGAGGAAACTCCTTCTGATTGATGAGCAACCGGGAAACCTTTTTTTTTTTTTTTTGGGTGGGGTGGGAGGCATCTAAAAATTGCAGCAATGGACTTATGTGTTTGTGTTTTTTTTTTTTTAATCTTTTCTGCGGTTGTTATTGGTGAAAATGATCTTTGTTGGAAACAATAGTAAAGCAAGTTTTGAGAATTGGAATTTGTTTAAGTTTGGTGAATTAAAACTAATAGGTGATATAATAAATTCATATTGAAAATCATTCTATGTTTATACGGCAAACTCGAGATTCATAAAAACTTGCACATTTATATTAGTAAATTTTTTTTTAAGAACAAAAAGTTTGCACCATTTATGTTTCAATCATTTCTTACTTGTGAAGTTCCTTTTTCTCTTTTAGCTGGTAAAGGTAAATGCATGCTACATATTTAGAGTTTGAACTTTAAATTTGGATATAGGTTATGCGTGCTAGAATTTATGCAAAATTTTTTTTTTTTTAAATACAACTTTGGTTTGACCCGATCCTATCAATTTTGGCATGAGTTTTGTATACTTGAATCCTTAAACCAATATTTCTTTAAATCTAGACTCGGAATTGCAAAGTGTTAGATTGGCTCTGCCTAGAATTCACCTACATAGATAAAGACAACAAGTGAATTCAATTTCTCCTTTGGTGTAAATATTATAGGCAGGTAGAAACATCGATAGAAAAATTGGATGACCGCAGAGATATCCACACGAAAGCCATTCGTGGTGCTTAAACTTCCGTGTAGGTTTGGTCAGGCAGTGAAGGTACTGGAGGACTAACAAGCTGATTCACAGCAATGGTGTGCAAGGGCCTAGTTGATTCTCGCCTGCCCTCTTCAAATCGGTTCACCACTTGCTGCATTGTTGGTCGACATTTCGGGTTTGCGTTGACGCAATCCAGGGCTAACGCTGTTGCGACAACCACATTTCGAACCACCAAAGGGTTAGTCGGAGGGGGCAGACGGGCTTCAAGAAGATCCTTCAGCAGTATTGGTTCATTGGGTTGTGATGAAAAGGAGGAAAGGAAATCTTGTGGATGCTTTCCAAACAGCGTTTCCAGCACCACAACGCCAAAGCTATACACATCGGACTTTTCAGTGACCACCATGGTATAAGCTAGCTCTGCATTGACAATTAAAGTTAATCTCAACTGGACAACTCTAGATTTACTATTCCAAAAAAAAAAAAAAATCATTTCAATTGGAAGAATTTTTCCTTTTCTGTCCTTGAAAGTTAAGCCTAATATGTGCATATGAAAAACAAGTTGGTGAAAAGAAGAAAGTGATCTGGGATAGCAAGGTAACCAACCCGGTGCCATGTAACCAAAGGTGCCCGCAATGACTGTTTGATTTGATGAATCAAGTTCCAAAATCCTCGCAGTTCCAAAGTCAGAAAGAGTTGCTTCGAGCTGTGAATTCAAAAGAATGTTGTTGCTTGATACATCCCTGTGAATGATTGGCGGATCACAATCATGATGCAGGTAGGACAATGCACTAGCAATGCCCTTGATCAAATTCACTCTTTTAATCCAGTCCAGCTCCACAGCTTCGGTTTCATCTCTCAAGATACAAAACAAGCTTCCTCTGTCCATGTACTCATAAATCAGAAACATGCATCGCTTGTGCAGACAGAATCCGAAGAGCTTTACAATGTTCCTGTGCCTGATTTTAGAAAGCACGTCGGCTTCATTCCTAAAGCTCTTGTCAAAATTTGGATTCTCGCCTTCCAGACGGTGAAGCTTTTTCAAAGCCACTACTTTCCCACTTGGCAACCGAGCTCTGTACACGCTGCCATACCCCCCTGTCCCGATGCAATAACTGACACCAAAGTCATTTGTTGCTTTAATTATGTCTTCGTAAGCCATATGTCCATCATAGTTCCATATTCTGAAAATGTCTCCATGTTTATTGTCCATCAGATCAACTTCCACTTTCTTGAAGCAACAGATATAAATTACTAATCCGCCAGTTATTGCGAACACCAACAAGGGTACGCCAAGAACTATGATGTAGTAGAGGGTGTGATGTCTATGATTTCCCATAACAGAAGGAGATGCACCACAAAGTGTGGAATTGTAACGCAAGTCTCGATTGCCGACAAATCTTTCTGAACCAAACTGAAAGCCAAGGTCACACGGAAGTTCACCTTCCAAAGCATTATAGGACAGGTCGACGTCCGACAGTTGCATAAGAGACGAGGGGACGGTGCCAGAGAGAATATTGTGGGAAAGATTCAAAGTGAAAATGGGCCTATAGGATTTAAGCATGTCATCCACAAATTGGGTAGGAATTGGGCCTCTAATTTGGTTTGAGGAAAGATCTAGAATTTGTAGAGAAGTTATCTCAGAAAGTCCAAGAGGCAAGGAACCACTTATTTGGTTAGAAGAGAGGTCCAAAATAAATAGAGCAGCCAGATTACCAAGGGTCGGAGGGATTTGACCAGTCAGTCGGTTGGACCCAAGGAGAAGCTGTTCCAAATATTTCAAATTTCCTATTTCAAAGGGAATGGAACCACTTATTTTGTTAGAAGAGAGGTCCAAATTAACTGGAGCAGTCAGATTGCCAACGGTCGGAGGGATTTGACCAGTCAGCCGGTTGGACCCAAGATCGAGATATTCCAAAATTTGCAAATTTCCTATTTCAGAGGGAATGGAACCAAAAATTTGATTCCATTGAATGTATAGTTGGGAAAGACTTGTCAAATTAAAAAGAGCTGAAGGAATTGTCCCGCTAAAGTGGTTATTGCTGAGGTCAAGAATGTCAAGGTTAGACAATTGTCCAAGAGTTGGAGGGATGCTACCAGAAAATTCACTGTAACTCAAGTCTAATGCAATTAAATTCTTCAAATTTCCTATTTCTTTTGGGAGAAATCCTCCCATTAAGGGATTCGACTGAATGTATAGTAAGGAAAGATTTGTCAAATTAAAAAGAGCTGAAGGAATTGTCCTGTTAAAGTGGTTATTGCTGAGGTCAAGAATTTCAAGGTTAGACAATTGTCCAAGAGTTGGAGGGATGCTACCAGAAAATCCACTGTAACTCAAGTCTAATGCAATTAAACTCTTCAAATTTCCTATTTCTTTTGGGAGAAATCCTCCCATTAAGGGATTCGAGTGAATGTATAGTTGGGAAAGACTTGTCAAATTAAAAAGAGCTGAAGGAATTGTCCCGCTAAAGTGGTTATTGTTGAGGCCAAGAATGTCAAGGTTAGACAATTGTCCAAGAGTTGGAGGAATGCTACCAGAAAATCCACTGTAACTCAACTTTAATGCAATTAAACTCTTCAAATTTCCTATTTCTTTTGGGAGAAATCCTCCCATTAAGGGATTCGAGTGAATGTATAGTCTGGAAAGACTTGTCAAATTAAAAAGAGCTGAAGGAATTGTCCCGCTAAAGTGGTTATTGCTGAGGCCAAGAATGTCAAGGTTAGACAATTGTCCAAGAGTTGGAGGGATGCTACCAGAAAATCCATTGTTACTCAAGTCTAATGCAACTAAACTCTTCAAATTTCCTATTTCTTCTAAGAGAAATCCTCCCATTGCGGGATTTGAGTAAATGTATAGTCGGGAAAGACTTGTCAAATTAAAAATACCTGAAGGAATTGTCCCATTAAAGTTGTTATTATCGAGGTAAAGGGAGCCTAAATTGGACAATTGTCCAAGAGTTGGAGGAATGGGACCCCCAAAAGAATTGTGGCTCAAGTCTAGAGTAACCAAATTTGTCAGGTTTCCGATACCTGGAGGAATTAAGCTTCCAATCGAGTTCGAAGAAACATCGAGATGTGCTAGTTGCGTGAGGTTTACCAGAGAAGATGGAAGCTCACCTTGGAGTCCGTTGGAAGATAAATTGAGATAGGTGAGTTTGGAGAGTGCACCTATTTGATGTGGGATGGCTCCGTATAGACCATTTCCACTGAGATCCAGTCTAACCAGGTTCGGAAAAGAAGAGAAGCTGAAATTTGTCAACCCATCTTGAATTCTGCAGTTCGGAAGTAGTATTTCGGTAACGCTACCAGCATCGTTGCAAATGATACCAGACCAGTGGCAGTGGGCAGAGATGTTTGTTGCAGTAATACTGCTGTCTCCCCACCAGCCACTCTTGCGCAGTGCTTCAGCTTCCAATAAATTCACAGCAGACTCCTGTGCTGCTGCTACTGCAACTGGTGCAATAGGCAGTATCATGAGAAGAACAACTCCGCTGCATACAACATCCATCGATGCTATAGTACTATGAAAGGCCGTAATTAAGATAAGATGGATGAAATGTAAGCACCCGCCCTGATTAAGTAGTCTGGATTGAAAGACTCGCACTTAAAATGCAGTGCAGTCAGCACTCAGCAGTGTTTGTGGTCTTCCGCATTTGAATGGTACGCCGTGTGGAATTTCTCGTAAAAATGCCACGCAATTGGCTATATTGACTGTTCTTATTATAAAGGAAAAGAATTATAGAATATCATCAACAAGAGAAAAAAAATATATCCAAGAACTCTTCCATTATTACTGTGAGCCTTCACAACCTTTTTTTTTTTTTTTTTTAAAAGAACTTGAAAACACACTCCATCATCTTCTCATGGTTCTCGAATCTAATTATTGCTCTTTGTGCTAAAGAATAAATTATAAATTCTAAGGACAGATTTCTGTTTAAAAAAAATCTAATTGTAGCTCAGATATATAAGGCTTAGTCTGTGAGTTTAGCAGATTAAAAAAAAAAGAAGAACGAACAATTTAAGTTATGATAAAAAGGAAAAGAAGTACTAGAACTTCTTTCATTTTTGTTGTTTGAGATTAGCGAGAAAGGGAGCAAATTAGTAATGTTTCAGTCTTAAAAGTACATTTTGCTGCCAGTAATTCAATACCTTTTTAGTATCTCTTTTGCCTTCTATGGGCATTCAAATTCATGACATTTGCGTACATGTGAACACTAAGACATTTGAGTTTAAGCTGTAATGATCCTTCTTTTGCATTTCTATAGATTTAGTGAAAATGTGCAACACGAAATACAACATTTGATGTCATAAATGATCTAGTAATAATTGGTACAATGTGTAGACCAGCACAATCTTCATATTTTGTCAATGATTCTTTTGTTGATAAAATTTTGAAATTTTAATTACATGGTTATTCGTTTAACAGGTACAGATGCGAAATTCAACTTTAACTAAACTGGTAAATTTTGCACAAATTTAGCTAAGGCGGTACAGTTAAAAGGAAATTACTTGCAACCTTTTTTTTTTTTTTTTTTTTTTACAAAAATAAAGTTTAAAAACTTACTCCACAATCCTCATATGGTTCTTAAATCTAATTATTGCTCTCTTTGTGCTAAAGAATAAATTCTAACTTCTAAGAGCAGATTTCTAAAACAAAAAAAATTGTAAATCTTAGATATAAGACGTAGCTTGTCAATCCTGGACATTAAAAAGAAAGAAGGAAGAACAATTTGAGTATTCCGTGGTAGTCTGGATTTAATGACTTGATATGGACAGTTAAACAAGCACCATGATATACATGTTTTAATGTGTACCACTAGAATTGTTGTGTGTAATTTGTTAGAAATGCCATTAAAACAAAACACACTCTGTATAATTACTCTAAAGTCCCTAGATCATGTACACATTCACATCTCCCCCGGTGAATTGATTGGTTAAAATAATCTTGTTGATCAGGATTTTCTTGCCTCCTCGATATTTTTGTCCCAATAATGATTTTTTTTATTTATTTGAATAATTAGTAACGCATAAGATATACTCATCTTTGTTCACAATTCGTAAGCTTAAACCTGTGATTGGAGGGATTGTTTAGCATTGATTACTGGTTAATGGGCATTGCTCAAAGTCACATCTTTCAAGTTTCAAAAACCAGTCAAATTTGTCGGGCTGAAAGGTTTCTATTCAACTCTGTTGATTGTTCTTTAAAGGCAAACGCAGTTTAGACACTTCTCAGAAAGAGAATGAGTCAATAACTTTTATTATTTCTTTGAACTGACATATTTTTTTAGAAAAGGACTTTTATCAGATACGTATACAAATCTACCAATCGAACTTCGAATAAATTGGAAACCTTTGCCAAAATTTAAGAAAAAGTGGTACACTTAAAAGGAAATTATTCATAACCTTTTTTTTTTTATTATTTAAGAACAGTCTCTATCATCCTTGTATGCTTCTCAAATCCAATGGGTGTCCTCTTTTTGCTAAAGGGGAAATCTAAGGGCAAATTTTGAGAATGCGATTAACAGTAAATTTTAGCATGCAAGGCTTAATTTGTGAATTTAGACGCGAAAAAGAAACAAGAAAATGAGAGAAAGTACTGGCACTTTCTTTGACATTGTTTTGACAGTCTCATGAGAAGAAGAGAAATATAAGTAGAGTTGTTAAACGAACTGAACTGTTCATTAGCTTGGCCCGTTTAGACTCGTTCGAAATTTTATATGAGACGAATTCGAACAAATATTTTGACTTGATAAGTAATCGAATGAACATGAGTTAGTTCATGAACATGGACCTAATTGTCATTTTACAAAATTTATGGTTAATATTATATTCCTAATTCCATACTTAATTGATCGCAAACATGTGTTTCATTGTTTGTGAACGGCTCGGTTATATTAAACGAGCCGAATTCTAACTAGGATTTTCCTTAACGGATCGAACACCAACACAGATTTGGATTTCGAATATTATCGAATGAACATGAGTTTTGTTCGAATAGCTTAACGAAAAGAATTCAAATATGAGATACCCGACTCTCGACTTGACTCGTTTACAACTCTCTAAATATGAGTAGTATATAATATATATGTTGGCCTTAGAAGTGTATTCTCCTGCTCAAATATGCGAACGGATAATTTCGCCCCTTTGCCCCTCCATTCTGTCAAGTCAAATAGCAAAAGTTGATAGAATGGCCAAAAACTTAAACTAACTTGTCTAAGGGTTTAAATAACATATAATATAATTTGGGGGTTAAAAGTGTACAAAAGTGATGGATCGCTTTGGGAGTCGGCTGAGCAATTTACTCTTTTTTACTAAATGAAGTGGCTAATTCCTTTATGCCATTTCAGGTCAATTGCATGAGTTAATTAGCCTGGGTTAGTTTGGATTTAAAGTCTTGCATTTACAATCAAGTCAAGGTCCTTCGAATCTAATAACCGGCATGGATATTTTATTATGCATTTTAATTTGGAGCACTCGCAAAGCTGTCTTTTTCGGCCTCTGATTTCATTCCGCTTTCGAGAGTGAAAGACCAAGTCCTGTGTGCAACTTCTTATAATTCCATTACGATTTTATGCAGGATGATTAGGCCATTATTTGTTTTAGTGCTTAAGTAACAGCGACATTGATATTTCAGCTAATTCCCGTCAAATCTTTCTGAGGTAGCATGAATTTAAAGATTTGCATTTAATGTCTAAGTCAAGGTCTTTCCAATCCGCGTCTTAGAGGGACCAAGGGAGACTTGTAACGTGTTCTTTCTGGCCTTGATTTGATTTCACATTTGAGTGTCAAGTTCACTGCAATTCTTGTGCAAAATTTCTTAGAAGACTCTTCTGCGGTGCTTAAACACGTTGAAGACTTTTTTGTTTCTTGCCCGGGTTTGTTTTTTCCTTTTCTTTTCGATAATTTAAAGGGAGTTGCATTCTGAAGAATTAATCTGTTAAGGACTTAAATCGCACCTAATTTACAATATGAACACACACAGTTATTCTTCCGAAATAATTACGCTTTTGCTAAAATATTAACAACCGACGCCCTTTTAATCAATAACGCGTGTTCTTGAAGACTCGTTAGTCGAACCTATTAAACGAAATACTCTTTTATGGTTTGACTTTTATTTAAAATAGTTCTTAACTGTTTCTTTAACTGGACTGCATCTAGTATGTTGAACGACTTTTTAATAATATTGTGGATCAAAACATACCTAAGAATTATGTACTAAGAATTGTAAAGCTAACACATTTGGAATGAGTACTTATGAGTTTATATGTGGTGGTTTTTGGTATGAATAACTAATTCAAAGGCTAATTGCATGAAATTATCAAATTATACATATGATAATGCATCAATTATAATCAAAACCATGCCACTCGAATTAAGAAAGAAAATTAATTGACATCTAAGACAAAATGTTCTAAGAAGAAATATCTTTTATTATCTAAGAAATAATGGTATGCGAAAAAACTATCTTTAATATCCTACCTTAGTTGATATGACCTACAACTCGATATCTAAAAAATGAAGATCAGTTCGTTTGATTGTTTAGTCTTAACACACTTGGTAGGATTATGGTATAAATATTTAATTGAAGTAGTTGATACAATTATATTTCGTAGATGTCAACAAGCAACCAGAAAAGAAGTTTCAAATTCCACAAGCTAATATAAGATGGTCAATTTGTCAGCAGGGAGGCATCACTATTTCGATTCGACTGTGAGGAGCAATATACGCATTAATTGATGAAACTTTGCTAGCATTCATTTACAGCATTTTACAGATCCTGCATTCATTTATCATGGCCTCCAATTTCTTCCATAAGCAGGTCAAACTGGATCGTTGGCGGCAAATGAACCAGAAGGTGGCCTCCAATTTCTTCTAAAAGTAATATTTGCAAGAACCATTTTGATCATCCAATCCACCAGAACCATTTTTGATCATCCAATACATCCAGGCAGAGGCATTCCTCGGTTCCCATATGAAGAAAGGTCAAGATTACTCAAATTATCAGTTGTACTCTTAGAAGCAGTTTCTGAATGCGTATCAGGAATACCCATCTGTAAACAGTATCATAATTTTCCTTGGTTCACATATGGGATAACAGAATCATCAACCATCTGTAAAGCACCCAATTGTGAAAACCCAACCAATAATTCTTTTTACCAACCATTCTGAAGACAACGCAAATATCCACTCCACTCCAACCCAACAGCCACCTCCCCTGCCTCATCCAGTGACGGAGCCAGGATTTTTTTCTTGGGGCCATAATTTTTTTGAAACAAAATTACCTTAATATGTTATGTTCTAAATAATTTTCATCTATTTAAATATATGACATCTTAAAATATCAAATATTAACTTTAATTATAAAGGTACGTCTATTTCATAAATATGTAACATAGTCATAACTAAAATTAAGACAAGAAATAACCTTTGATTAAATATCTTATAACATCACAAACCACCTAAGTTGCACATTATGAGAAGATGCTCCAATATGTCACTTGTGCAAAAAAAAAAAAAATATATATATATATATAACTATGCAATATAAATATAACTATTTTCAATTAAAAAAAGATAAAAGTTATGT